TCCATCTCCAAACCTCCACTGAATCTGATCATCATTCTTCAGTTCAGAGACACCAGAGCTCAGAGTCACTGAATCTTCCTCCCACACTTGTATTTCATCTTCATCATCAAACACACAAAGAGAACAAACATCAACATTGACATACTAAGACTTTACAGTCTGAATGTTACTTTAATTTAAATATAATAAAACAACAGGAGAGACGCACTAATGCAACATTTAATGTGGATTAATATTGTACTTAGTGATTAAAAAAGAAAACAGGTGAAACAAATATACAACTCACCAGAGACTTCGAGTTTGACAATCCTGAACATCTGATTGATCATTAGTTCATAATATCCAGTATGTTCAGTTCTGGTGTCTGTGATGGTCAGAGATCCAGTTTTCTTGTCCAGTTTCAGTCTGTCTCTGAATCTCCCATCAAGAACATCATCAAATACAGAGAATCTGTTTGCCGTTACATTGATTTCTGCTATTAAAGTGACTTCAATTACTAACCGCCAGTGAATCTGCTCATCATTCTTCAGTTCAGTGAGTTCAGAGCTCAGAGTCACTGATTTTCCCTCCTGCACTTGATAATAATCATCAACAAGTCCACCTGCAGAACAGAGTTTGTCAGATTAAAGTGTTAAATCACAGGATGTTGGCTTGGTAAAGTCGTCTCTAAAACACTTTTGATCATTCAGATGAGCAGTGAATATTATTCTGAAGGTAATGATGATGATGTTGTTCAGTTTTTGATCTTCATATTAATTTGATTGAATGTAATCTCTAATAACAGATCTTCAGTTATTTCTATATCAGTGAATCCACTTTCTTCATCATCTCAGGTCATTCAGAGTAAGAGAGGAGATTCCTCTGCTGTTCTTCAGGTCTGTGATAATGAGTTTGATTCAATACTGTGACTCTATTTGCTGTAGGAGTCTGTCAGGAACGCTGAAAACAAGCTTGTTTAATCCATTAAAATCTGCTCTAAGATTGTAGATCGACCTCTAGAAAAGCTGTAAGACTCAGTCTATTAGAACAACCTGATGAGATCAGCTAATAATATCATGTCTGATCCTGATCATGTTCTGCATAACGAGTTTGAATTATTAGCATTGAAGCAGAGGTGTAGAGTTCCCAGATTTAACAGGAAAGAGCAAAAACACTCTTCTGTTCATCAAGCAAGCTGATAGTTCAATCAAAAGCTATATATTAAAAAAAAAAGGTAACGTTAGCGACTGGATGTCGACGTGTCGAGTCACATGACAAAGTTGCAAATCCTTTAACTTCATGCAAATGAAGAGCCTGTAGATCCTGGTTAATGGATGCCAGTCTGCTTGATTATGGTTACTACTGGGCCGCTTTAGTGTATTCTGTGACAGATGTGATCTTTACATCAGAGTTACCAAAATCTACATGAGGAGGTTTATAATTAGCAGAAATACAGATATTACAGAAGAACATATAAGCTGATCTGCGTACAGTGTAAGGTTCAATGTTTTCCATCATCAGATGTGATCGTTACTGTTGCTGTAATCAATCTGGCAACCTGTGTGTGAGTCAAGTCTGTGGAGGAGGGGCCAGGGGGAAACCCTCTCCAATAATGAAATAAATAAAAAGAGTTTGATCTGTAATACCTGTATAATATTACCAATTATCTGTCAATCCCAAATACAGCATCTTTAAGCCAGGCTCACACTGTAATAAGAGGGATTTGTAATGCTCATTTAGGCTACATTCACACTGCAGCCTAATGTGGCCCGAATCAGATTTTTTCCCCCTCATGCGACTCCGGTGATGACAGTGTGAACAGCCCAAACCGCATGGAATCTGATCTTTTCAGGTCAGATCTGTGCCACTTTCATATAGTCTTAAATCAGACACAGATCAGATGTTTTGCAATGCGACCGCAGTGTGAACGGTCATGTCGGATTTCATGTGACTTTTACATAATGTTTGAGCGACATGCGTCATCATTCTGTGCTGCAAACATCATCTACCCCTCAGCAGCACAGTAGAAAGGCATTTAGAGGTTTTTGCATCTAAACTCTTCAAATATGTAAGGCAAGGCAAGGCAAGGCAAGGCAATTTTTTATCATAATTTTCTTTGGGAAATCTGTTAAAACTTGACTTTAATGAAAAACTGAAGCCTAAAGGCAAATAACAAACTGACCATTTAAATAATAAGATAAATTCAAGTTCAAATTCAAATTCAATAATCCAACTTTTGGTTTTTCAAACCACCTGACCTTCCTTGGCTACGTGCATGACTATTTAATTGAACTTAACAAATTGTAAGAAGAGAGGATTACTTCATAATACATTTTATTAGCAGTTAAATAATAAATAGCAATATATATATATGTCGGGTTTTTTTGTGACTTCTCTGTCTCCCTCTTGTGTATTATCATTTGTATGCAGTTTCACCTGTTATCAATTTGCTTGTTTCCCGTCCCCATCCCTCTCACCTGTTCTCCCTGATTATTGTAGCTATTTAGTCTCCCCTTCTCCGTCGTTCTGTGCTTGTTAATTGATTCTGTGTTCTACTGTTGCCTGAGTTACCGGTTCCCTGTTCAAGATAGTTTCGCACTTTGCACCACGTCTCGTCAAGTCTTGCATTGTCTATTTCACCACGTTTGATCCTGTTATCTGTGCTCTGGCTCACCTCTGCTCTGCCCACAGTCCACGCTCGTGTGAGGTCTCATCTGCTTGGCTCCCTGAGGTCTGTCCTAACTTATACTACTGTTATACCAAGAGGATCTCTTTCGTTTGATCAGTCCACCACCCAGAGGAGGGTCGTTTACAGACTGCCTGTGTTTCTATATTTTTGAGTGACTGTTACTTACTGCCAAGGAGAGCAGAATTGTGGATTTGGTTCTGTTTAATAAATTCCTTTTGATCTTCTCCCTTGCGCTTGGGTCTCCATATTTCTTGACAATATAAAACAATATTTATTCTTGGCGGGGGTGTGGGGGTTTGTATTCACCAGTCCCCACCAATGTCAAGCGCAAACCAACGCCCTTGGGTTTAATGCACATCATGCTCAAAACACACGGATAAATCATTATGAGAATGAGGACAACACTTTTAGATCATGCACCAGCACATAGAGCCAGATCCCAGAAGTGAATTCGGACACACCCTTAGTGCTTCTGCATCATGAGCTGTAGACATCACGCTTAGATCAGTAAAATAGAGCCCATAATATATACTGCTATAGGAAGGATATAAAGATGGCTGACTATGCACTGCTCATTCAGGGCTAAATCAATATTAACAGAAAAGATCATCAGCTTAAACATCAAAACAGACATAATATGTAGATTAATAATCAGATCTTTGTGCTGATTCAGAATAAAACTCTAATTTGCAGGAACTGGTTGATCTGAACATTACACACAGAAAACTTTCACTTCAGATAAGAATCACATCACAATTAAAGCTAATGATGGAGCTTTTTAATCAACTATTAGAACAAATAAACACTGAATCTGTTGCTGAAAGAACTGTAATAAGAGAGATTAAGAACTCACCAACCAGACGACACAAACAGAGCAAAACTAACTTGAGAAACATTTTCTTCATCAGTTCACTGAAGAGCTCAAGATGGCAGCTCTGAAAATGTCTGAACATTCTCCAGCATGAACTGAGATATTTATCTGATTTAATATGAACCCTCCTACAACCTAACAGCAGAAGAGAGAAACGCCTCATGAGTGTTGATCTGTTATCTGCATCTGCTGCTGTTATTTAGTGTTGTGTCCGTGATATTTGACCCTGAACTCTTATTTGACTCTTATTGGATTCACTTTCTTGATTGTAAAGTTGTTGTTTGTTTGTTGTTTTTGTATGAACTGTAAAAATAAGAGGCTCATATAAACAAGAGAAATAAAGCACAGAAACACTTCAACCACAATCAACTGACATGATGACAAATGTCCAGCAGAAACACCAAACCACATCACCAGATGATGAAGAAGAGGAAATATGAACACAAGTAAGACTGAACAATATTTGAGTCTCCAATAGAGTAAAGACAGAAACAGCTTGTGAAGCGTCGAGCGCCGCCTGCTGGATGAACTGTGGAGAGACTCTTATATTTGTGCTTGTGGGAAAATATGTCCTTAAATAAGAAAATAACTGCAACCTTGTTTAGAGTGCACACTTACTGCAAATGTACAGGTTAAATATAGCGAATATAATCATTAAGGTAATATATTATTATCTAAACCCACTTGCTGTGAATGAATTATTGACTTGTGATGCAAAAAGTTTTGTGAGCGTTTATACCACACTTCAAAACAGTCATGAAGAGTTTCAAGATAATATGTGCCTACCTTTAATAACAGCGTGTCTGTCTTTTGCTAATTAGCAATTAGCCGATAGCGTCCTGTTCTTCTCCAGGTTTCTTCAAGGTGGTGAGCGATGAATCTTGATGAAACTCTCAGCGCCCTCTGCTGGTGAAGATACTCATTACAGGACAGCTGCAACCTGCAACAAAGTGTACTAATTTGGGTTTTTACGGTGTGTGATCGCTCTGTTAAACGGGGAAATGTCCAGCTCGAGTTTTAACAATAATAATAATACTTTTATCAGTATAAAGAGAGCTTAAATGACAATGTAAATATTTATATGTCAATGAAAGGATCTTGATAGGACGGATATCTGATCTGTGCAATAATAACACGACAGGGTAAAGTATAATAAGAAGTGATCTAAAAGTCCTGTAAGTGTTAAAGAGGATAAATCAGTGAATCAGCCATCTTTTATCTCGACACACATTTAATAGCACTAATGCTCGAGTTGCAGTTATATCTGAAATCTTTCAGGGTGGAAAGATCAGCAAATAAAAACATAAAGCCATTACAAATAAATGAAGATTATAAGTGAAATGACGTCATGATTTATGTTTGTGAATTTGTGCAGATCATGAAGATGAAGATTTCTGCTCTGCTCAACTGTTTTACTCCTCCAGAGGGCGCTCGACACAATCAAATACAACATGAAGAGACTTTACATTTAGACAGAGAAAACTTTATTGATGAAGACAAGCAAATACATCTGACAAATGCACAGTGAAGTAAGATCTGTGTCTTATTTTAGAGAAATATAAACAATAAATCAAACTGAATCTGTAAAATAGTAACACTACAAAACAAACATGAAAAATTAAATCATATATAAAATGTTCATTAGTAAAGCCTGTTGTACTGATCTAAATGAAAGCAAAGCTTTGTATTTGAAGTCTGCTGCTGTATTTATGTCAAACCCTCACATGAGCTGCATCAGAACCATCAGGTTCATCTAAAATCTTCAAAATAAATGAAGCTGAAATGACTGAAAGCAGTTCTCTGACATCATCATTCAGGTTTGTGATGCGTGAATATGTGCTTGATCTTGTTCAGCTCTTCTGGATCTGATGTCATAAAGCACAATAATGACAGTAGCCACGCCCACCAGAACAGAGAGGACCAATCGGATCACAGCTTCAGTAGGACCACAGCAGTGAACAGAGCCTGAGGAACAAACACATTAAACTGAGCTCAGATCAGTCGATAAAGCTTCATATCAGCACTGCCATCCACTAATATCAGCTCTGCTGTACCTGAACATGTGGGACAGAGTTGACTGATGTCCAGATGTTGAGTCTGGTTGCTGATGGTGTTGTTGATCACACAGCTGTAGGTGTTGTTGTCCTGATATTCCACCTCCAGAGGTAGAGAGAGACTGATGCTGAGATCAGACACACTGATGCTGGACAATAAACTGTTTCCTTTGTACCAGGAGAGACTCACAGCGCTCACATTCACCACTGAACACAGCACTGAACAATACTGCACTGATGAAGATGAGGATGAAGAACATTGAGAAGAGTTGAGGATGAGGACAGGAACAGGCAGAGCTGAAAACACCAGAGAATAAAGAGAAATGAGGAGAAATCAAGAGACTGAAGAAGACAGAAAACAACATTTAAATGATCAGACATTAGTGTAGATCTGTTTCTGAATAAATAAAACCTGAGAAAACAATATTAAACTCACCGACAGTGAGAATGAAACTCTGTTTTTTCTTATAGTTGATAGATAATTTATAAACTCCAGCATGTTCAGTTCTGGTGTCTGTGATGGTCAGAGATCCAGTTTTATCGTCCAGTTTCAGTCTGTCTCTGAATCTCTCATCAGGAACACCACCAAACACAGAAAATACAATGTTTTGGTTTTTAATTCCAGCGATTAAAGTGTTTTCATTTCCAAACGTCCACAGAATCCAATCATCATCCTTCAGTTCAGTGAGTTCAGAGTTTAGAGTGACTGAATCTCCCTCCTTCACTGATATTTCGTCTTCATCATCAAACACACAAACAGAAACAGGGTTTTTGCCAGATTAAGATCATTAAAGCTCTATTGTTGTTTCTGAAAGTTAATTTTAATATACAATAGCAAAAATACACAAAATAGCAAAGATGTGTGGATTAAAATTACATCTGGTGATTAAAAAAATGAAACAGATGAAGAACATTTGTAACTCACCACAGACAATGAGATGGAAAATAATATCAATAAAGTTGCTGTGTAGTTTATAATCTCCAGCATCTCTAGTTCTGATGTCTGTAATGGTCAGAGATCCAGTTTTATTGTCCAGTTTCAGTCTGTCTCTGAATCTCCCATCAAGAACATCATCAAATACAGAGAATCTGTTTGCCGTTACATTTATTTCTGCTATTAAAGTGTCTTTATCTCCAAACCTCCACTGAATCTGATCATCATTTTTCAGTTCAGAGACACCAGAGCTCAGAGTGACTGATTTTCTCATTTTCACAGACACTTGTTTTCTATTTCCTGTATCACCAAACCCATGAAGAAGAAACAGAAACAGATCATGATTAACAGTCACAGATTAAGATAATAAATAAATATAAATTAATATAATAAACCAACAAAAACAAAAGCAGGTTTGGGTTAAAAAGTGTCTCTTTGTGCTGATTAAAATATAAATCAGATCAAACTAATATTTAGCTCACCCAAAACTCTCAGTCTAACAGTGTTGATTTCAGTGTTGGTCTGTACTTTATAAACTCCAGCATGTTCAGTTGTGGTGTTTGTGATGGTCAGAGATCCAGTTTTCTTGTCCAGTTTCAGTCTGTCTCTGAATCTCCCATCAAGAACATCATCAAATACAGAGAAACTGTTGGTCTGTTTATTGATTTCTGCTATTAAAGTGTCTCCATCTCCAAACCTCCACTGAATCTGATCATCATTCTTCAGTTTAGAGACACCAGAGCTCAGAGTGACTGAATCTTCCTCCTCCACTTCTATTTCATCTTCATCATCAAACAAACAATGAGAACAAACATCAACATTCACATACTTAGACTTAAACTGAAAGCTGTGATCATTTATTGTTCATATTGTGATGCAGTTCCTAGAGAAACGGAATATTAAATGACATAACAGTGGGTGTGGCTTGTTTTCTTCTACTGCGAGCTGATTGGATGTAGTAAAGTAGGCATTTCAGTCAGAAAGATGGGGAAAAGGGTTTGGGGAGAGTTATCACAACCTAACAGACTCCTCCTGCTCACCATTACAGTTTGTTGTCAAAACTGACAGCTGAAGGGGCGTGGTTAAGTAAGTTAGCCACACCCAATACCTCAGACAGACCTAATCTGAGAATTTAACTGAAAAAAAAAACAGGAAGTGCATTCTCAGATTTCAGTTGAAGATTAGAAGGCCAGACTATTCTTTTTATTATTGACATGCACTGAAGAATTGTTCACCACACAACTAGCAATGTGAGCGAACAAAATCAATATGGTTAGTTTTGATTTCATGGGGACTCTAAAATTAATATAATAAAACAAAAGAAGAGACTCACCAATGCATAATTAACGTGGAATAATATTGTACTTAGTGATTAAAAAATAAAGCAGCTAAAACAAATCTTCAACTTACAAGAGACTACAAGACTGAAAATCCTGCTCATCTGGTTGATCATTAGTTCATAATTTCCAGTATGTTCAGTTCTGGCGTCTGTGATGATCAGAGATCCAGTTTTCTTGTCCAGTTTCAGTCTGTCTCTGAATCTCCCATCAAGAACATCATCAAATACAGAGAATCTGTTTGCTGTTACATTGATTTCTGCTATTAAAGTGTCTATAATCCACCACTCAATCTGCTCATCATTCTTCAGTTCAGTGAGTTCAGAGCTCAGAGTGACTGATTTTCCCTCCTGCACTTGATAATAATCATAAACTCCACCTGCAGAACAGAGTTTGTCAGATTAAAGTGTTAAATCACAGGATGTTGTCTTGGTAAAGTCGTCTCTAAAACACTTTTGATCATTTAGATGAGCAGTGAATATTATTCTGAAGGTAATGATGATGATGTTGTTCAGTTTTTGACCTTCATATTAATTTGATTGAATGTAATCTCTAATAACAGATCTTCAGTTATTTCTATATCAGTGAATCCACTTTCTTCATCATCTCAGGTCATTCAGAGTAAGAGAGGAGATTCCTCTGCTGTTCTTTAGGTCTGTGATAATGAGTTTGATTCAATACTGTGACTCTATTTGCTGTAGGAGTCTGTCAGGAACGCTGAAAACAAGCTTGTTTAATCCATTAAAATCTGCTCTAAGATTGTAGGTCGACCTCTAGAAAAGCTGTAAGACTCAGTCTATTAGAACAACCTGATGAGATCAGCTAATAATATCATGTCTGATCCTGATCATGTTCTGCATAACGAGTTTGAATTATTAGCATTGAAGCAGAGGTGTAGAGTTCCCAGATTTAACAGGAAAGAGCTAAAACACTTTAGCGTAGCCTTATGCACACGGGCTTCGTGACGATCCTAATCACTGTACATTTTTCATTCTTCTATGGCCCAATACGTACCTGCTATGTCAGGGTTGTCTAACTCAATTCCTGGAGCAGCCCTGCACGGTTTAGTTCCAACCCTGCTCCAACACACTCACCTGTAGGTTTCAAACAAGCCTGAAGGACTCACTTAGTTTGATCAGGTGGGCTTAATTAGGGTTGGAACTAAACTGTGCAGGGCTGCGGCCCTCCAGGAATTGAGTTTGACATCCCTGTGCTATGTGTATAGAAAGAATGCTGATATGAAATATGAAACACATACAGTGGTTGGCAAATATATTGGGTACATATGTTTGTAAATCAGACCTTGAAAGAGTCAGTGACCATGGCGTGATGAAACTGACTCTTAAAGGGAATGGGAGATGAGACTCTGGTTTAATCAGGGGCGTAGATTTAGGGTGGGACGTGTCCCCACCAATATCCAACAACTACTGAAACGTCTCCACCAATAATTTAATTCACTTAAAAACATCGCGCTGTCAGTATAAACCTAGACATGGCGGAAGGGATAAATCACGTTCTCTCCTCGAGTCGCACCGCCCCCAAACACATATGAACATTGTGATTGGCTGTGCTTTTCCCTGCTGTCATGTGAGAGGCTGCTTTCAGATACAAGCAGCGCCAAAACAACTGCGCGGGGGGAATTTCCCCATGTGTGTGAGGTGTGTGACACGCACAGGTGAGGATGGAGGTAGCAAAAAAAGGTGGACATAAAGAGCTTTTTTCAACGAAAAGTGTAAGTCACATGAACTCAAGTTCGCTACTGAATGAGTCCATCATGATAATGCTGCTATTGCGAGTGTTTTTCACCACTTTTACGGTCAGTCTAACGTTAAATCAGACTGATATAGTCTGTGAACAATATTCCCTGAAGACTACCTGCAGAATAAACACCTACATGTACACGGATATGACCATGCCAGTTCTCCTAATCTCTTTGTCAGGGTTCTGCCACTCTGGTCATGTAAATTCTTGTTTTGGTGGCAGAATCCGGACACTAGTCATGTCTAGTCCTGTATTGTTGTGCTCGGCTTAAGTTTTTTTGGGTCGAGCACTCTTTTCTGTCATTGTGTGTGTCTCTGTGTGTGCGCGCGCCTTTGTGGGTGTGCGCAGAGCGTGCGCGCTCCTGCTTGATGCGGCCGCGCGGGCTCTGCGTGCCTCGGACACGTGCGCTCTTGTACTCGTGTTTGTGTTCATCTGTCTGCAGCGTGGTGTTTCACTCCCAGCGTCTCAGTCTAGTTGGTTTCGGTTTTGGTCGGCGCTGGGATGAAGCATGCACGCTGCGTGTGTGAGCGCACGGTGAGTGTTTTCATTCATCATGTGCTCGTGTCATGCATCTGTTGTTAAAGCACGTGGCTATGTGTTTACATCGTGGTCACGTGCTTTTGTCGTGTGCTTCAGTGTTGTGCTTGTCTTGTCATGAACATGCGGTTAATGAGTTCTCATTGGCTGCATGTTCTTGTCCTGTTTTATGTGAGCGCATGGCTTGTCTTGTCTTTGTCATGCGCTCTCCTGTCTATTGTCTAGTCCCACCCTCCGTGTTAACTCATTATTAGTTTTTCACGTTCACCTGTTTGTGTCAATTTACTTCTACTTTATAATCCCCTCATGCTTTCTGTTCTGTGCCAGTTCGTCATCAGCTGTCATCGTTTCCTGTCTTGTCCTGGTCTCCTGTTCTCCAGTTTGCCAGCCTGCCCAGTCTAGTTTGTTTGTTTGTTTATTTGTTTTATTGATATTTTCCCCCCCGGGGTAGTTTGTTTTTCTGTTTTGTTTTTTATTTTTTATCAATAAATACCCATTATTTCTTTGCACTTGAGTCCTCGCTCCTTTTCCCCTCACTGACCGTGACACTCTTAGAGTAACATCTCCAATTTTGTTTGGTTGAAACAGTTCGTCAGAAAAACTACAGCCTGTGCTCCATCTTTTAATAATACTATTAGACATATTTAATTTGTACGAAAAATGAACGAAAGTCTTTATTAAACTCTCTCTTTATCAGTTAATAAACATTATTTTAACATGACACTTCCAGGCCTGTGGCCAGCTTATTGAAATGAGGGGTTATTTGTTTTCTGAAAAACTGAACCTTTTTGCAGTTATTCACCTGATTTTCTGTTTAATTGAGGTATAAATATGACATTTTAGTGACATATTAAGAACTGATATTTGCTGGATAATCTTGTTGGATTGTTATTATAACTTCACTTTTTGATGTACCAAAACTATTTCCTACCATTTTGTCTAATTGCTTTATTTACACATTTAAACTGTAAGTTTTATTAAAGTTTTATAAATAATAAAAATACTTTGAACTAGAAATTAGGACTTTAAATTCTTAGAATAAAGAAATGAAGAGTTCAGATGCCAAAACATCTAAATGCCATGTAAAATGAGCATTTTTCTCAGCCTCGTATATTTATGTTCAGTTATTTCACTTTAAATCAATGAAAAGAACGTATTTGTCACTATAAAAGTAAAATCACTGAGTCCACACACAGGAGTTTTATAAATT